GTAGACAAGACCACAAGGGTTAATGGAAGTTATGGGACATTACCCTTTCACTTTTCCTTTAAACTTAGCCTATCCTGCCTTGTTTGCTTTCTCACTATCACAACTTAAAGGAGTAATCCCCAACACCCTTTCTATTCTGGTGGTTGCATCAACTTTTAAGAGGGATCATCTTACAATATCTAGCCCAAAAAATGTACCTCAACTTATTAAAAAGAATAAATAAAACTGTTGAAATTGTTGGGAGTAATTCCATACTAAGTTGAACAAGAATTTGTGTAATATACTCATGAACCAAAGTAGATTCACATACATGCATGGGCGGCCCTAGGTAGCAAATCCAATTTGCACATAAGGCGTAACAATCTAGGCATTGTCCGAAAATAATATCAAAATTTAGTGTCTCCAATTTATAACTAATTTATCAATTTGGTTTGAGAATTAAGATTGACCTATTGACTGAAAGCCCTCCTACCAGTACCATCCTTTCGAGAGGGGTTTAATTTGATTCTCACTCGTAACAAGTCTAATTTACCAAGCCGCCTTACAGCAATTACTAAAATGGGCACTCAATTGAGAAGCCACAAAGACTAATTATACTTGAGGATCAAAATAAGTTGAAAGTGCTTTTTTTTTTTTAAGGAAAATTGGAAGTGCTATAATTTGGTGGAAATTGACAGAAAGGTTGACATAAACTTGGTAAAGTGATAATAGTGTATAAAAGTTTGTGGGATACTGACAACAGTGAGAAGCTCTGTGTTTTAATTTCTGTATTTTGCATGCAAAAGCTTACATAGACCTATTTGATTATTATAGAATAGACAGATACTCATTCAATTAATTCTAGCTTGCCATTAGCATAACATCCAACTTCAAGAACAGGTTGTAAATTAAGTACTTCCAATATGAATTTTGCATTGACAAGATTTAATTAAACATCATCTCAAAACTTACAAAATCATAAATATAAAACAGCCAATAATCTTAGTGACAACATTGGGCTATAAATTACTGAATATGAAGAAAGAAGAGCACCATTTGTTGTCTCATTCTTATTACTACTTGATATTTTTTTGTTGTACTTGTAATATGAAAGGAAGCCTCTTTAGTACAACCATATAATGGATCGTTTGGGACCTAAAGGAAGGTAACTATCATGTGTCACATAAATCTTTTAAAGAATTGCAAGTTTTACCACCAACTCGCAATAATCTTAGTACTAGTAACAAATTTTCTTTCATGTGATGATAAGATCACTCTACCAACACCATTTCAACGTCACTTTATGTATTCTACAAGTAGCCATTTAGTTTTACCCTCAAGATTTATAATTAATTACTCCGTAACAAATTTTCGTTTACAAGGTGTAGTTCGTTATTCTTACGAAATAAGGTCAAGACTATCTCCAAATTCTAAATCCGAATAGCAATTACACCCGTTACTATTATTCTACAAAGTTCTAATCATAGTGTAATGTTATATTCTGTGATTTCCGTCTACTTCACATTAATTGTAATTGAAACTTAAACCCACCCCCACCCTACAAGCGCACCAAAAACCTCTCACAAAGTTCTACACTATATAAGAACAAATTATTAAATTTCCATGTTATAAGACAAAAGAAATTGAACATCAAATTAAATGCATCAACATTAGAAATGCCACATCTATTCTTGCCTCTCATAAAATTCTACATATATAAGAACAAACTATTAAATTCCCATGTTGTATGACAAAAAAAAGTTAAACATCAAATTAAATGCATTAACATTAAAACATCCACATATCTATATCTTTGTGATTCTGAAACTCTTCTATATCATTCTTTTCTCCCTTCTTCCGACCAGCATGCCCTTCCTCATCTCTCTTTATGCAACTTGTGGAACCCTCTCTTTGCCATCACATAGAAATTCCATTAATATCATGGTCGTCCAAACACCATGCTTCCTTACCTTTCCTTAAACATCCCATCGAAAACAAAGTAAATAACACTCTGTTGAGTAACAGCAGAACACCACAAGCTCCTTGCCCTATACAGTATACTGCAATACATGTGACAAACGTCTCCCAATCCGGCCAAACACCCTCACCATCACATTCAAATGTCTACGAATTTTAGACTATATTATCACAATTAATTAACTCTTAATCAAACGTTAGCCAGGCCTATCCTAGAAACTAAGAAGAGATAAAAAGTTGTATCATTGCAACTTGCTAGTTACGAAATGTAGCAACAAAGTAACCATCAACTTTCCAGCCATAATTTTCTTTCAAAGCTGTAATGCACAAATGCAAAACTAATCATGGTTTCATCTTTAGCAAAACATAAGAATCATGTCGACTTTTAATGCAGCAAATTAAAAGTTTTATCCTCAAAAGTTCCTTTAAATCATGTTATCAAATCTCATGGAATAGAAGGTAATGCTGAGTAAAGTCAGTTTGTTGGTGAACTTCCGTCGAGTGGGTTGCCTGATCCACAAGATCTTATCTTTGCCACCATAATAATCAAAATAGAAAGTGATAAGACGATAGATAAGTCTAGTAACTATCAGTCTATCATATGTCTACTTGATTAACTCGTGTAATTCCATATTAAAAAGTACAAGCGAAATACTCTCTCTATCTTATAACATAACTATAACTCTGAATTAAAGAACAAATAGGACGAACATTTTGAAACAGATAGAGTACTATGTATTACCTAAAATATTATCAGTCAAATGTCAACTTAGTACCTTCCTTACCTAAGGTCATATCACTAGTTCACTACCCGTTACTTTGTATCGCTCTCAAGCTTTTGGCCGGTGAGATTTATACTTTATGGCGGCCAAATTATCCGTTCAAATTGTAAAGCAAGAATTTTGGTAGGACTAATAAATGGAAAGAAATTGACTGACATGCTATTTCACAACCAAATACAATGTATAACCTCTGCTTAGGCACTTGAGTTAGGCTCTGAAAGAGCAAAAAAAAATATTGAAAACAAGATATTTTCTGAGTTTGTTCAAAAGTTAAGCTTTTAACCTAGCAGATTATCTTAGGAACAAAGTAGTACAACTAGGTATGTATTACTTTTTACCATCCAAAATTTACCCCTCACTTTGACCGCTTTCCGCCACCATGCCAACCACCTCACCTTACCACCACCACCACCCATACATACCCTTTTGTTCAAAGGTTTATTTGTTCAAGATTCTCATGTTTGTTTTGCGGGAAAGGGAATAGAGGGTGGAATTAGGAATGAAAATAGAATGATTCGTTCTTTTGTTTTTATCACCCAAGGGGTAGGCAAAAGTAATGGTAAATTAGCTTATAATGAACCAAAAGAAAAGAAGATTAGCAAGAGTATATTTGTAGTTTTATCATCTATTCATAATTTATGTACCCTCGTCACAAAACAAATAAGAGATTGTCACTATTTTATTGTGTGTTCTATATCAACAACTCTCAAGATATTTAAGTAACACTATCATTAATTCTCAAATTATTGTCTTCATAAAGTATAAACCAAACAACATATTATTATTATTTATTTATTAAAAATTTCTCGATTATTAACTCTCAATCTCTATCCAACTCTTAGAACGCCCCACAAATACTATTTGGGCTTAAGAAAAAACTAGAATACATCCAAATTTCGAAAATGGGCTCATAAAGCATAGCAATCTTTCAACTACCAAGAAAGAACTCTTGTTGAAGTCCAAATCACAAAAGGAAATTTCTTCATAATCTGGCTAGGCAAAGAGGGACCCAAATAGTATTGAGATAGATATTGTTCATCATAATTGAAAATTTCCACATGGCAACAATTTCTCTAAAAGAAAGTGGGCATGATACATCTTGATTACAAAATCCATTAATACCTTTAGTGGGTGGGCTACCCTAGCTGGTGGAATATTCTAACCGTTTAATATTTGATTATAAGGAGGTCTAATAAATCAGAAACTTTCTTATCATTATATCATCAACACTCGTGGTATAATTTCATATCACAGTGTAAAAACTCATCAAAATCTTATAAATTTTTACTACATTGGTGGTATAAACTATATCATTTGATGGTATATACCATCACATGGTAAACATTTGCTTTGGTCCCCGTGAAACATGAACCAATCAGGTCACGTCATGTGGCCCAGTTATCATGTATCTTTTTTTTCAATTGTATTTTAAGAAAAAATTATAAAGTAAAAAATTATGGAAAAATTACCATTGTTCATAATTTTTCAAGACCTACACATAGACACCCATATTGATATAGTTTTATATATTTTTCGAATTCGCTTTTTACTACCTAAATTGCTTATTTTATTTAATTAACTTTACAAATATTAATTAGTTATTTCCCATAATAAACTGAAATATAATTATAATTAAATTAAGTGTATAATTAATATATATATATATATATATATAGGAGAAAGAAAGTGTGGTGGTAAACTTTTTTAATACCATGGGAGGGATGATTTTTGGAGAAAATATATTGTATTGTGGATCAGTGAGAAAGTGATATAGGGAGAGAAATGGTATAAATTTATATATCATGAGTGATGATGGTCTTAGACTCTTAGCAATGACTATAATTTCAAGGAAAAAATATAAATGAATAGTGTATTTGTTACCACTAGTCACTACCTTGTACAAAAAAACAATAAGTATACTTTAATACACTAATCCAAGACTTTTATACTCTACTATGTAATTTCTTGTACATTTGTCGATACATAATCATGAAACTAATCCAATATTATTTTACAAGTTTGAGGTTGTAAATTAGTGTCACCGCTCCCAATTTTGTATCACTGAATTCTAGGGATCAAATCTCATAAAACACATTTGAGGGATTCTTACCCAAAAAAAAAAATCCTACATCATTTTATCGACAACAGTTGTATATATACTCAATTTAAAAAAATTAGTCAAACTATATAAAAAAAATACAAAAATAAAAATATAAAATACTCCGTATAAAATATTAAATCTAACACATGCAAAATTATGTTTTAACCTTTAGAGTGGGAGCAATAGTAAACTCTCGGATATGTATGAAATGTATCCATCAAACCTCAATCATTTTTTTTTATTCTTTATTTTTTTAATTCTTTTTTTTTTTCAAAGGTTAAAAATCATTTAATCTTAATGTGCCTAAGGTCACATGACCAAGCCCTTGCCTCTGTGGTCTATATATACTCATCCATAACACAGGCACTAAGGACGGCTAATCCTGCAAACTTCAAACACACACACACACAACAAAGAAAAAAACCATGTCACCATCCACACTCTCTCCTCTACTATACCAACAACTAATGAACCTTCAATCCTCAAGAAGGTTGCTACAGCACCACCCTCTTTACCACCCTCCGCCTACAGCCGCTACGCCTCCACCTCCACCCATGGCTAACAACCCTGTAGACCCCACAGAGCCTTACAGCGGAACTAATGGCTTTGATGCAAATGTAGTAATGGTACTATCAGTCCTCTTGTGTGCCTTAATCTGCTCACTAGGACTAAATTCCATAATCAAGTGTGCTCTACGATGCTCGAATTTCATGCCTACTGAATCTAATGACAGCAGTAACGACCCAAGCTCAGAAGATACAGGCATCAAGAAGAAAGCTTTAAAGACTTTTGCTGTAGTAAATTACTCACCGAACCTGAAGCTCCCCGGTCTTGGTACCGAATGTGTTATATGCTTGTCAGACTTCGCCCCAGGAGAAAAGTTGAGGCTACTGCCTAAATGCCAACACGGATTCCATATCAAATGTATTGATAAGTGGCTCAATACTCACTCTTCATGCCCAACCTGCAGGCACTGCTTGATTGAAACATGTCAGAAGATCGTTGGCTGTGATCAGGCTGCTAGCTCGTCGCAGCCTGATCCACAGCCACTTCCACCTCAGGCAACTATCATAAATATAGCACCATTAGAACGTGAAGATTTGGTAAGAAGTTATAGAGCTAATAGTTAGTGCTAGCATCCTTAGTTCAATTCGTCGAAACAAAAACTTGTACATTAGTAAGGTCAAGCCCTCGGAAACAGAGTAAATCATGTAACAAGTTTATCAATAGCATCCAATTAAGATTTGTATAGTCAGGAACTATTGGTAGCTTCAAGTACATGTTTCAAGTAGCATATTGTACGATTTGCAACAACAATGACAATGTTTCAGTACCGATCCTGCGTGCAGGATCTGAGTAAGTCCAACTTACAGAGTCTTATCCTAAGTTCTTAACCACTAAAAGCTTAAAAAAGCAATTATCAAAGGAAAAAGACAAGCATGTAATGTGGCAGACGAAAATAGAAATCAAATTTATGTAATTTAGAAAGGAAAACCACGTGTTAAAAGTCAATGGAAAACAATTTTATCTCCATATGTGTTTTTTTCATAAAGTTTCATCCCCACTCATCAATAACACACATAAAATGATAATGGAAATGTAAGAAGAAAGCACACACATTAGAATGTAAAGTTGCATTCATTCTTACCATGAATTATAAAATTACAGGAAATTTTATACCATTAACATCATCTTTTACTACCAATCAGCCGGGACGAAAATGGAAGTATGTGTTAAGGTGTTTCTTAGTTAAAATATTAACATCAGTCCAGCAGATATAATAGCAGTTCTGTTAAACAATGCAGCAATGTAATGTTACAAATGCAGAATACATAGTAAATCATGAGGCCTTAAAAAATTAGAAAGTCAAATTGAGTGATATATACTATATAGTTAATAACTGCTATAACAGGAAGCAAACATAATGAATTTAGGACCACACCCAGGAATATAAAACAATGGGCAACATAAGAAAGATATATAAAAACAAGTGAACAGCTAAAGTGTGAACACTAAAATGTCCACTTCACTGGACATGCAGCCACTAAGTAGGCCACGTAATGTCGCGATTAGCTATAATTAAACGAAATTAAAGGCGAAATGGATGGAAATTAACCACAAACATAAAATACTACAAGAGATATAGTTTAGAGCATTATTGACAACATGTCAACGGCATTTCCCATAAACTTCCTGTGAATATGGAATTAGTTAATAATATCAACGTTCACATGAAACCACTTACATTAAATTAAACAAGCATTTGAAGCCTCAAATGCCATTTCAAGCTTGCCAACAAGGATTCCAAGTCAAAAGGCAACCGAAAAGATATGAGTATGCTATACATTAATATATATATACCAAGTGCAGGATAACTTCAGCTTCCAACAGGTCCTTCAAGAAAGGCGATTCGAGGTCGGATGGCATAAGGAGAAAAGACTAAGAAAAGAAGTTGAGCTAAAACATGTGGAAGGTGAGGATGAACCCACTATACGTATACCAAAAGGATGAATTTGTAACATAGTAGTAGACTAGTAGTACTCAACTGAGCCAAGTCACTCTGAAGCTTAACTGATTACAATAATAGCAATCAAATAAGGGGGGTTTCATAAACAATAACATGCACAATTGCACGTGGGCCAACAACACAAGGAAAGCAATAGCATTAAGAAGAAAGTAAGAAGCATAACCTGGTTTAATGCTAGAGCTGACACTGACAAAACCCATTAATCTTTTGACACTGATTCAAGTCACTTTAAAGTTTAACCCTTATCACTAGAGAGCCTAATTTACTTGTATCAATTGCCCTTTCCTTTTTCTCCCCCTCTTTATCTATAGAGTGGAAAACCAACTACGACTTTCAATTAGGCCAGGAACAGCTTCAACCATATAAGTCAAAAAATGTAAAGAATAAAAAGGAACGAAATGGCATTATAACTCTCTAAATGACACGTCAACTTTGTTTGCAAGTGGAGCTTATGTGCAATTTTAAAATTGATTAAAGGAAGTGCAAATGGAGATTTACACATATTGAACTCCGTTAAAACTTGGTAGTAAGTATATAATGTTAACTTTCCAACTAGAAACACTGAAGAAATTGCTAAAACTGAGATTGTATATGAGGATCATTTACTTGCAGGTTATACGACCAAATTACTTTTTCTCCATCGCAGCTCTCACCAATACCAGTCCGATGATGCAAGTAAAATGGGACGATAATATTTTTAAATTTCACGAAAGAGACGGAGGAGGAGCTTTGAATAACCCCCAAACAGCAAGACTTTGAATGGAAAGCAGCAGACACTTCAGATTGAAAAAAAATACTAGTACATTTATCTTATCAAACAAATTGCTTAGATGGTCCCTTAGCAGCCACTATGTTAGTTTAAATAAATCGATAAATAAGTAAAATTGACACACACGAAAATGCCATGCACTATACAATATTTTTTAAACAGAGGCTCTAACTAGACAGATGATATGCATGATGTTCATAACTATCAGGGAACATCCAGGAAATGAGTACAACAACTATACGAATTCGGAAAGCCAGGAAGAAGTGAAGCAGGAAAGGAGAAGCTAGAACAAAAAGGAAATGCCACGAAACGTAAACCAAAGTCCAGGCATTACAGAAGCCATCATCCCAACAGAAGTTCGACCATCACTTATTATACACAATGATATAATCACACCTAACCAAAAGCATGTTATTTTCAGATTCTCAGAATTCTGCAATCAAAAAGCAGAGATATCATGACTAAACTTGGAAATTTTCCTACTCCTAGATTTGTAGTTTCTCTGTGTTCCGTAAGTGGCATGAGGATTTCGTCTTTCATTGATGTACGCAATTCCATCACTTCTGCGCTGGAAAGAGTATAGGATAACCAGAACAGGAATTCAGAAAATATCCTCAGACTACTTGGCTGGAAATCTGGAATAAGACAGCAACAAAATGTACCACTGATGTAATATGTGGTTATTGAAAGTTTAGGATTGATCAAGTATTATCTTGTTGAAACAAAGAGCCTAAAAAGACGTACTTTTTGCCCAATAACAACCGTCAGATGAAGAAAAAGGTTCCAATCACAATTCACAACAAATCATCTCATAGCTTTATTCGATCACATCACATCGTTTTCTATCTTTTCTATTGTACAAATACTACGTAAAAAGCATCAAGGAGGCCAAAAAAATGTCAGTGTGAGTCTAAATATTGCAAGACATCGATCTCATGTTCTTGAGAAATTTACCACTAGGGGTATCTTCAACTGGATAATAGATTCCACCTTTCATTCCAACCAAAGTACCAGGCTACCAGCATCCAATCCTGCCCTCTGACACTTCCTAATCAAGGAAGAAAATAGATGAAATTCCTATGTACACAAACAAGTCTAACATCCCAAAATGATTGTTCCTGTTCCAGATTCCAGTTTAGTGTGTGCAACATAATCTGATGTTCATGTGTATCAACTTCATTATATTTAAACCTGGCTACATTGTCCACAGTTTAGGAATTCCTTTTGGATATAGAATTAATCTACTGTACATACAGCACTACTGATCAGCTGTATCACACATCTAACAAAAACATGGCAACCAAATCCTCATTAACTAGAAGCACGAGTATATTCCAACCACGGGGGTTCAAAGAAACACTATTCTCATCAAACATCTAGCAACCAAATCCTCATGTGTGCTCGTGCATTATAAGATCAGGGAACACGGACATTCATCCAGCCTCTAAGATGGAGCAAATGCCTTGAAGATCGAGTCATATGTTAACATTGAAATGTTAAGGATGTATACAAAATGAGTGGAATTTTGGTTTTACAAACTTAATGGGATCACCAACAAGACAAGACAACAAGGAAAGCTGAATAAAGATAAAAACAACAATTGAGATGACACTACGTACACATCTGATAAATAAATGGGTTACATATCCTTCATAAAGAAGACGATGAGCACAACTTTTGCAATGCCTTGTGACACTCCGCATAGTTCTCAAATCGGACCAAAACACTGCTACAGTACATGTTTCCTTTTGAATGTACTGTCTACACTAGTACCAAGTACTAAAAACACATTGACCTTTTAACAGCTAGCTAATAATCAAGACATTACAACACTATATAAGCTCACAAAAAATAGAAGGTCCACTCAACAACATGAAAGTAAACTAGTAACAGTACCTAGGAATACATAATATTCATATTATTGCATTAGATAATACGAAGTACTACACAGACCCTCATCCTAAAAAATCCTTTCCGAGTCCTCTTTCACTCATTTCGGTCAATTACATAGACCCTCTAGTCACAGCCTCACAGGCCTTACATTATATATTTATATGACAAAAAAAGAAATTTCTGTTTAATTTCCTAGTTTAATATCTCTACTGCAAATTACTTTATAATTTTATGGCCCAAACATTTTATTCTAATACCTAGTCTATTACTTCGTAACTATAGTCCGAATCCACAAAGTAGGCTATGATCCTCATAAAGTCATAAAAATCTATAAATAATCTACAATTCTACATAACTATATAATGACATGTGTGATTTGATAAATTATTATTTTTTTATTTTTTTTTAATATACGAGAAAAACAAATAATATCCACCCGCCTTAAATCGCCAAAACACAGAATCAATTGATTGAATAGATATAAGGTCCTAAACTCTTCACATGTTATGACAGCATATATATCTCCATCTAAAAGCTCGGTGCAACCTATTAACATTGAAATGTTATGAATATATCCAAAATGAGAGGAATTTCGGTTTTCCAAACAGTATGGGATCAACAACAAGGCAACAAGGAGAGCTAGAGAAAGATCAAAACAACAATAAAAATAAATAAAATAAAATTGACAGTACACATCTGATATATAAAAGGGTTACATATCTTTCGTAAAGCAGACAATGAGCACAACTTTTTCAATGCCTTGTGACACTCTTCATAGTTCTCAAATCGGACCAAAACATTGCTTCAGTACATGTTTTCTTTCCAATGTCTACACTAGTAACAGACACTCTACACTAGTTACAAGTACTAAAGAAACATTGACCTTTCAACAGCTAGCTAATAATCAAGCCATTACAACACTATTAGCTCAAAAAAATAGAAGCTCCATTCAACAGCATAATACTGTAGTAAACTAGTAATAGTACCTTTTTTCGATGTGAACTAGTAATAGTACCTAGGAATACATAATATTCATAGTATTATTGCATCAGATATACAAAGTACTACATAGACCCTCATCCTAAAAAATCCTTTGGAGTCCTCTTTAACACATCTCAGTCAATTACATAGACCCTCTAGTCACAGTGTCACGGTCCGGGATTTCGGGCCCCGAAACGTGCGGCGCGCTCTAGCCTTTTGGTGGCAAGAACGCTAGCCTTGTGCGGAAGTAGGGCTTGTGAGCACAAAGCAACACAAGCGGACAATTAAATCTCAGGATCACTCACGTCTATTTGGGCGACGGAGTGCGGGTGGTCGGTGCTTGTGACGGCCGACACTGCAAGGCAGGCGCAAACGGGTCCGAACCACGAGTTCTTAGTGCATCAAGTTGGTGTGGAGGGGAGCTATTATGTAAGTAAGACACAATATCTATAAAGATCTAACAACAAACAAGCATAAAAGCAAGGCAACACTTGGTAGAAGGTTTAAGATTTCATTAATCATTCACCCTCTAAAGACCTTTAATTCGATAGAACACTCCCCTGACAATAACACAATAATGGAATCTAAAACCTAGAAAACTTAAAGTAAACTCTAGGAAACCATCTAAAGTGCATCTAATACATCAAAAAGAGTTGGATTCTAACACACAGCAATACATTATGAATTAATAAAAAGAAACAATAATAAGTTTAATTCCTAGTTTAATATCTCTACTGCAAACTATATTATAAATTTATGACCAAAACTTTAAATTCGAATTCCTAGTCTATTACTTCGTATTTATAGTTTGAATCCACAATGTAGGCTAAGTTCTTCATAAAAATCTATAAATAATCTACAATTCTACAAAACTATACAATGACATATGTCATATTGGTGAAAAGATTTACTGCCAAATTAATTTTTTCTTTTAATAAACGAGAATAAATAAATCAAAGAGTAAGACACTTGGAAAAAAATACTTAATTTAAATGAGGTATTACATTAAAAGCAAATATTCAAACAAAGTCCTACATATATGATAAATCCTTTTGTCATTTTTTTATACTAGTATATATAAATAAAACCCTTTTATCATATTATGTAAAAATTATAATGTATATATTTTCGAGATTTTATGAGATAAACTATTCATTCAAAAATAATGGAATCATGTCATAAGGGTAAAAAATGCAGAGGGAAAATTTTTAAAATAATTATTTAAAATGGCAATTTATATCGATACAACCTAGTTACTATAAAATACTGCTTGATTTTTACCCAAATTAATTTTGACAAAATTATATCAAGAAAATATTAAACATTATAATCATGAAAATAAATAAAACATGATATGGGTAGTTAAATTTTAAGATACTATGTAAAGCTATGATATTCAATATATAAAATTAATACTAGTACAACACTTTCATTTTAAAAATTGGATGCTTCACTATTTATTTTATTTAAAAATGTATGATTTTGAAAATAATAATGGTATATATTTATTTGAAAAAAAAAATGGCCATATTAACCAAAGAAAGTATTGTCTTAATTTTTTTTTTTTTAAACAAAAAGTTTTCTAAGATAATAAAGGAATAAATTCTATGTTGCAAAATGTTTACTACTCAGTAAAAACAAACCTCATACAAAAACAATTTATACTTTTTTCTTTTTTTTTTTTAGGATTTTTTTGATAATTAAAACTTTACCTTTGTCAAACTTTGACAATATCATAATAACCACCTCATAAAGCGCTTTTTTTTTATTTTATTCTTTTTTTACCCTCTTTTGTTTGACAAATCTTTTGAGGTTACTACCAGTTAACGTTAAACACCTATTAAACCTTAATTTTTTTTTAACTTATATTTTACTATCGCATAAAAAGTTCTAGAACGAGGAGTACCTAACTAAATTCATCAGAACTTAGTGAGAGTAACCATGCCACCATTATATCTTGAATAGTCTTCAATTCTTCCTCAAGCATTTCCACTTGAAGCTAAAGAGACAGAGAAGCTTTTAACTGTCTTCAATTCCTTCTCAAGCATTTCCACTCGAAGCTGAAGAGGCAGAGAAGCTTTAACAGTATTCAATTCCTTCTCAAGCATTTCCACTCGAAGTTGGAGAGGCAGAGAGGAGCTCTCTATTGTCGGATCCTGCTTAGAGGACAATCCTACAGAGTCCTTACATGACTCATTGCAGGTTAGCTCTTCTTGAGAGATGTCAGAGTCCTTCAGAGTCAATTCATAATCAACCGTTTTTGAATCCCCATTCTGCACATCAAGGTCCACAAGATTTCTCACTTTCTCAAACTGAGGTAAAATCACAAGCAATGATATTTGAGATGACTATAAACATCTACGATTCAAGTATATGAAAAATCAAGTTGGAGGCTTCAACAATGTACATACAGGGAATTGAACATATTCTTTTTAAAATCACTGTCCAGCTAAGGCAACAAGGGTAACCTTATCATAGAGGTCTTCAGGTTGACAAAATTTATGTAAGCGTGGTGCCCTGGATTGGAATTAGAGTGGAATCAAGTATAGGGAGTAAGGACTGATAGCTTTATTATGAAACAGGTCTTTTGTAACTGATTTGGCTTTATCGATTTCTGGGGGTGTGGTTATGCAACAGGATAGCTCAACAAGCCACAATGAACTATGGAGAAACATCCTTGTAGAAACATACGGGAATTCCAGATGTTACTGGAGCATGGGCACAACAAAAAGTCTATATTCTTAGGAACAGAGACAAGAGTTGCGGTTAAAATAATCATGGGTGTCTGATAGAGTAAATCTAAATGCAGAGGTCATAGAAGTAAACTCAAATCCAATAGACTTGCAATAGCCATATACTCCAATTCAATAAAGTTGCAACAGTCATATACTCTAATTCAATAGACTTGTTTGCGATAAGAAAGATGTACCTTTTTTAGAGAATGCAAGCACAGTTTTTGCAATGCTTTACGGCATTGTTCATAGTCCTCGAATATGACAAAGAAATCGTTCCAGATCGCATAAAGATCCCTACACGTATGAATTTAACAAAGAGATGAAAGAAATACAACCACAAGTAGTTGATATTATTACATCAAAAAAAGGAAATAGTAGAGCGATGATTACCTAACATTCCCAATACTATTCAACAGTTTCCAGATTGATGACTTATCAGCAAGCCATTCAGACGGAAAGCCCTTCAGAATAATAGTCGGCGGCAAGCCCTCACATGGTTGGATAAGGTTGACAAATTTGAGGGGATCCTCAAACGGTTTAATGAAAGCTAAAACCGAAAAATATCCGGATCCGGAGGCGGTAAAAAGCTTGGAACGCAGTTCGTTGATGATAGATTGTCTGGCATTGTAGAATTTTTGATCAGGATCATGACCAGGGAATTCATCAATAAAGCTCAAATCTCGGATGTAGAAGAACCCTGGATCCCCAATTGTAATAAATCTCTTATACTTGATAGGATCATGATATTCGTAACCCGTAGAAACCACCGGAAAGCTTGATTCGAGGTGAATGTCTTTGGTCGATATACGATAACCGATGACATGCTCCACCGAAGATGCAATTTTTTCAACCATTGAACAAGGGTTGTAAAAAGGATCTCCCTTAGGGTGAACATTGAAATCTATTCGCATGCGAGGGACTAGCATCAGATCTTTATCTGTATCTTCATGTGGGTTTTGGTTATTCGAGGACACTCCTGCAGAGCCATTACATGATTCGTTGCAGGTGAACACTTCATGAGAGATGTCCCAGTCCTTCAGAGTCAATTCATAATCAACCATTCTTGAATCCCCATTCTGCACATCAAAGTCCACAAGATGATTTATTCACTTTCAAGTATATGGCTTTAAATGTCACACTCCAAGTATATGAAAAATCAAGTTGGAGGCTTCAACAATGTACATACAGGGGAATTGAACATATTCTTTTTAAAATCACTGTCCAGCTAAGGCAAAAAGGGTAACCTTATCATAACATGTCTTCAGGTTGACTAAATTTATGTGAGCGTGGTTTCCTAGATTGGAATTAGTGTGGAATCAAGTATAAGGAGAAAGGACTGATAGCTTCATTCAGAAACAGGTCTTTTGCAACTGATTTGGCTCTATTGATTTCTGGGGGTGTGGTTATGCAACAGGATAGCTCAACAAGCCACAACGAATGATGAAAAAACATACGGGAATTCCAGATGTGACTGGAGCATGGGCACAACTAGAAGTCTATATTCTTAGGAACAGAGACAAAAGTTGCAGTTATAATAATCCTGGGTTTCTAATAGTCATATACTCCAATTCAATAGAGTTGCAATAGTCATATACTCTAATTCAATAGACTTGCTTGCAATAAGAAAGGTATACCTTCTTTAGAGAATGCAAGCACAGTTTTTGTAATGCTTTATGGCATTGTTCATAGTCCTGGAATATGACCAAGACATCGTTCCCGCTCACATCAAGATCCCTACACGTATGAATTTAACAAAGAGATGAAAGAAATACAACCACAAGTAGTTAATATTATTATTATGTCAAACAAAAGAAATTGTAGAGCGATGATTACCTAACATTGCCAATACTATTCAACAGTTTCCAGATTGATGACTTATCAGCAAGCCATTCAGACGGAAAGCCCTTCAGAATAATAGTCGGCGGCAAGCCATCACATGGTTGGATAAGGTTGACAAATTTGAGGGGATCCTCAGACGTTTTAACGAAGGCGAAAACCGAAAAAATTCCGGATAGTTTTCCGGCGGTGAAAATCTTGGAGCGCAGTTCGTCGATGATAGATTGTCTGGCATTGTAGAATTTTTGATCGGGATTATCACCAGGGAATTGATGAATAAAGCTCAAATCTCGGATGTAGAAGAACCCTGGATCCCCAAATCCATCTCTGATCGGTTCCCAACGCTTGAAATCAGTAAAAACAGGTGATTTGTAGTGAATATCTTGTTCCGATAAACGATAACCGATGATATCCTTCAACGCCCCTGTGATGATTTTTAGCATTGTACAAGGGTTGTAATGGAAAGTTCCACCTTTATAGACAAGATTGAAATCTAGTCGCATGCGAGGAACTAGCACCAGATCATTATCTGTATCTTCATCTGGTTTTCGGTTTCGATTTTGATTTAGGTTAGGGTTAGGGTTAGGGTTCCAATCCGCCATTTTTCAGATAGAAAGAGAAAGAGGAGAAAGAGGGCCTATTCCCGTTTGATTGACGAGATAATAATCCGGAGAACTTCTGTTTAGTAATAATAAACCAATGATGTATGACAGTTCGGGCATAATACAAAATTAAGCCTTATTAGTAAACTATTTACCAATCTAGACGCGTGGCCAAACTATTTACGAAACTAAGCTTCTGAGGTAAAACGCTGCCTCGGTCAGCGTTTTACTTTGGTTATTATTTTTTATTATAAAATTTCGTATTTTGTGAAATACAAATTTTAAAAAAAAAATTGGAAATACAGTAAAACGCTGATTGAGTCAACGGTTTATACATAAGAATAAAACGTTGCCTCAGTCAGCGTTTTATCTGTATACATAACAGAGAAAAACGCTGACTGAGTCAGCGTTTTATTACTCAGCATAAAACGCTGCCTCAGTCAGCGTTTTATCTGCTGGCTGAAGGCAGCAACAGCAGGCCCCCAGCAGCAGCCTGTGCACATCCACCAACACCACCACCCTCCTCCTCCACATCCTCCACCACCCTCCTCCTCCACATCCACCACCACCATCACCCTCCTCCTCCACATCCAACGCCTGCAGTAATTAAGGATGAGTTAGTTGAATGATATACAAATTTAAAATTGATAAAAATAAGTTAATCAAATACACTTACATATCCCCTGATCACGTCAAAGGATGGATGGTAATGTGCGGATGGCGGTGTGTAGCTGGGGTTGATGAAACGCCGTGTAATCCGCATGTACCACTCCATGTATGGATCGTATGGATCCATAACGCCGTAGATGGGGTCACCAGTGACGACGAACTCCAACCGTCGATGCCACAAGTCAATGTACTGGGCATGCTCCGTCCGCCAGTTCCTGTCGCTCTTTCCCCGACGGTCAATGCGGTGCAGCCGGGCACTAGTGTCACACTGCTGGGGGACAGTCTGTCGTAGTCCAAACTGTCGCATGACTCGATCTGGTAGGTGACCCTCGACGACCTCAAAACAGATCAGGGGGACCCTAGAACGCCACTGCGCCTGATGATCTAGCAGATGTGGAGGCATGGCAGCAACTAAATCAGCTTCATACGGGTCCCATGTCATCTGCGATAACACATAAAAAGTAACATAATAAACAGGTTAGTGCATATTAAATATGTTAAGAGTATACATAATAAATAACAATTTCATAAACAAATTAAAGATTTCACCTGATCCTCGGTCAGTCGATCAAGGGCGTCTCGGTAGTACGGCAGGCCCCTCGCCGCATGCGCATATGTCAGCTTGGGGACCGCCTATCTGCAAGCGTACGCCTCGTCAGCGGAAGGCCGTGGTGGAGGAATGTACCGCTCATACTGCTGGTCCTGATCCTGCTGCCCCTGACGATGTATAGCAGGCCTACCTGGCCTGCCTACATGGATGTGCTCCCAAGACCAATATTGGACATCAAACACAAAAAACTAGGTTAATTGTAAACTAAGTAAGAACTTTCCGAATTAAATTGTTAATAGATAGGTAGGTTACCTGAAGCAAAAATAACGGTCCGCTGATCTCACGAGAACCCCGGCGGGATGCTCTACACAAATGGCGATACAACATCGCCAGACAAGCACTGCCCCAGCTGTAGCCACGAATATGCTCCCAGTCGTGGTCTACCAGCTGCAGGTAAATGATCTGTAAATGGCTGCCACTCTTGCCACCGAACAACACACCCGAGAAGAGCAGAAAAAGGTACGCTCGAGCATGTCTCGCTATAGTGGCCTCATCAGCACCATCAGGCAACACACGAAAAGTGTTGCGTATCCAGCCGGTCCTCAATCCGCCGCCCCTGATATCGTCCGGTCCTGGCTGAACCCCGAGAACCTGAGCTACATAGCCGGGGGGATCGGCCAACGCAGATCCAGACACCGGACTCCCATGAATGGGAAGCCGTGTGAGTATCGCCACGTCTCGCAACGTCACGGTCGCCTCCCCAACAGGTAGATGGAAGGAGTGCGTCTCCTGCCTCCATCTCTCCACAAGCGCAGTAACAAGCGCTGGGTCGACCTCTCTGAACGCCATCCGATGTATACCCATGAAGCCAGCGTACTCCACAAAAGGCAGAATGCGGGGATCGATAACCCAATCGCCAAGGAACGCGACAGTGTAGTGTCTGCATGTCAGTATGCCCGCCGGATCAACCGACTGACTCCAAATGTCAACGCTACGATGTGTGTCCTGTAGTGTAAGGACAGAAGGGTCGGTGGGTCCGGGTGTCCTATCTCGGGTGTCCATGGTATCTGTTCATAAACAGTTATAATCCAACAATTAAAAAGTAAAAATTACATATAAGCGATAACAAAATACAGAATTTCAAATCTCATACTTCAATCTAAAAATCCAACTGTTACAATCATTTGAAATGTAGAAATACAATCACCGTACTATTCTACTACATCACTCTAGATGACAGACATACAATGTTTAAAACCTTCAACACAAGGGCCGAAGGTCCAAAATACTCGTTCAAACACTTCCATGTTGCTGTAATAAACATCGTCTACCAGAGCTTTGTGTTTCCATACAACAACGGTTCCCGGGTTTGACTGTTTGAGTGCTTCCATGAAGTGCGGAAGTCGGCCATAAGAACTCTCCCAATCTCCAAATACTTCAGCTATGGCTTTCTCCCTAGCATACCATGCTCTTCGATAAGTAACGTCGAACTGAAAATGTTCGGAAATGAGTTCCTGTATAAATTCAACTTTCAAGCATGGATCTTTCTGCACAAAAGACTTCACAAAATCGGAAATTAAGGATGAATCCAAGTGTGCATGATCTGTAGATAACACTTCAGTGACACGGGTGTCCCGGTGCGGGCCTTTGTATGTGACTATGGTAAAGGTATCTGAGTGCTCACTTTTTTTGGTGCCTCGTAGCGACCAACCACAATTCTTCTTGCACCGCAGATGAAGGACCTTCTCATTCGAGGTCACTGTGGTGTAGAATTGGTTCCTCTGTATAGAATACTTCTTCACCATTTCCTGAAGCAGTTTCTTAGATTCAAAGAACATACCCTTCTCAAACTCCCCCCCGATCACAAATGTTGTATGACTACCTGATTCGGCCCAATATTGATCAACCTCATAATTCTCATTTACTTGACTTAACCAAGGAATAGGAGTTCTAACCATGGCCTCCCCACCTTCCATGTCTGTAGAATCAACATCCATGTTATCCAGAATTGGTTCCTCCTCTTCGCTCTCAGCCTCATCATTTGTTTCCCGGAGCGCATCATACAGAGACAACTCGTTATTCACCATATGTTGTAGATTTTCAAGATGATTCACCAATGGTTGAGACGGTGATGTATGATCATCATGCTGCGTAGGTGAATAACTTTGGAGTTGCATGGGAGAAGATATAATTGTGTTCGATGTCGAAGGCCCAGATTAGCCAAACATTGTCGTGGATGTTCCACCATATACAGGTGAAGCTATATGTGAACTCAACGGCATCTGGAACCGATCGTCATGAAGCAGTCTGCTGAAGGACCCCATCCCATATTCAGTTGATGGAATGTCTTGTGAGGGCATTCGGAAGGACTCTGTGTAACCGGAAAAATAGGTAGCTTGTTGATCTGGTCGAGTACTTTGTTGCGTACACGTAGACACTATTTCTACATATATCTCATGTGGATAACCCCTCATTAAAACAGCGTTCCTCAAAGCTTTCAAATGTCTATCGTTAGAATAAGGTAACACTTGAACCGCATTATTAGTCTCAAACCTCATTTGAATGTTAAGTTGTACATTCATTCGGTTTAAGCCAATAATGCTATGAACCTCGTTCATCAGATCGTTGAAAGTCATGTCTGGTCCAAGTGGCAATGGTTCCATATTTCCACCACTATACTGGACATTCGGTCCATCAGACACAAATTCACCCCCCCATCGGCATAACAAAGCTGCGTTTTGTGCAGCCATATTCTATACAACAACCAAAAACACATCTTAATTGCATGCAATCTCCACCAATTCGCACAATAACAACCAAGAAATTCACACTACAAACATAATTAACCATATTCACATAACAACCAAAACAAAGTACACAACGAACATATTCACACTATAACAACCAACATATTCTACATAACATAATTTTCGTAATTAAACAACAATGTAGGCTACTTTATCAAATAAAAACAACAATTTCATCAACATTATCAACAATTTCATCAACATTTTCAACAATTTTATCAAACATTTCCACAATTTCATCATAAACTTTCTTACTAAACTAACATCCATTTAGGGCTTTTATACTAAACAATTATCAAATTACAACAAACTAACTTAGAATTATCAACATAATTATCAATTTACATCAAACTAACCTAGAATAATCAACAACATTATCAAATTAAAACAATGTAGTATATAATTCAAACTAACCTAGGTTTTTAAAATTTAAAAACAAATAAGTGAGAAGTACTAACAATGAGATTATAAAGAAGAGGAGAGGCGCGGCGACAGCAGGCGGTAGGCGGCGGTGGTGGTGGAAGGCGGCGGCAGCGACGGCGACGGCAAGGCTTTGAGGAAGCGTGAATGCGTTGCGTGGGGAAGAGTGAGTTTGAGTTTTTAGTTTTGAGGAAGAGCGAATGCTCTGCGAAAAAATATACCAGGCAAAATCGCTGACTGAGGCAGCGTGTTTCTTTTAATAATGAAACGCTGACTCAGTCAGCGTTTTTCCCTGTAATACACAAAAACGCTGACTGAGTCAGCGTTTTCTGTATTTCCAATTTTTTTTTTTACTTTGTATTTCACAAAATACGAAATTTTTAAAAAAAAATTAACAAAATAGAGTAAAACGCTGACCGAGTCAGCGTTTTACCTCAGAAGCTTAGTTTCGTAAATAGTTTGGCCACGCAACTAGATTCGTAAATAGTTTGCCAATTAAACTTACATTCGTAAAAAATCCTGACAGTTCATATGTGGCGTAACTTGGGGCATCGCCCGAGACCTACAAACTAGTGAGAGATTAAATATGGTCTAAATATTCATATGTGGCGTCATGTCATCAT